TATTTATATATATAAAGAGACCAAATAGGAGACTACATTTTTTACTGTCAATAAGTTTAACTTTGCATACTGTAGTTGTATAAAACATGCATTTTCTGGGATAATTATGAACACATCATGAATGAGCCCACATAAATTATATTTTTTGTACAACTCCAAGTTAAAAAAAAAGTCAGATTAAGTGCCTCTGAGGCCCTTTCTTCCCAGCTATCAGTTCTCAAAACACACTACTGAAATATTTATCTATGCCTACAGCTATGTGCTAGAGAACCAGATTTAAAATTTTAAAATACATCTACAGTATGTTTACTTTTCTTAAAGTTTGTGACAGTCCTTGGATATTGTGTTGTGAAATGTAAAAATAGTCACAGATTCTTATTTTTTTCCAGAAATAAAAAACACATCTAGGAGAGTATGCAAAAACAAGGCAAAATGAAGTTTCATAGCACTTAATGAGGGTTAATATAAGTCAATAACTAATATTGAGGTTTGTAAGAAGGGCTGGATGAGCAGTTACTTGTACAAGGAAATGGTATAGTAATTACAATGGTATCAGACATTGTTTCTGTAACCAACGCTTCTCCACCCTTAAAACCAGTCGATATACATTCAAAATAGGCTGACATTGACATACTTACTAGGTGTAAAAATAGTGCATTATTTTTTCTGCCACAAAGCAAAATTGCATCCTAAGAGCTGGTAAACCTTCTTTTTTCCTTAAATAGAGAAAATGGGCAAAAAACATGAAAAAAATTAAATTAAGGCAATTAGACAGGTAAAACAGGACTGCCCATGATGACATAGCTGAAACTAGTATATACTTCAAACTTATACTAGCTGCTGAACACTGACATGCAGTTTTTGATAGACGTGTATGAATGATATAAACTTCAACATTATGGCTTTATACAAGTGCATAGTTGCAACTGCAATAAGTAACGGTATCTGATTAATAAGCATAAAAAAATAAAGTGGAAAGATTTTTAAAACCCTCTTGCAGTATTACAGTACAATATATATACACAGTATAATGGTCACTTCTTACAGATGCAGTCTATATCACTATGGTGGATCTTCCTCCTGTTGTTCTTGCAGACATGCTGGTGGCATTTTTATGAAAGCTGAAAAGTCAGTTTCTTCCATTTTAATATTCATTCCTCTCAATCCTTTTATGAAATGTAGTGTATGTGTCTTGCCAAGAAAGCTTTTGTGGAACAGAGTTTAAAAGGTTACCTAACATATCTTTTTACTATTTAGCAACCATTCCTCATTTCATCAGTCACTCAGGAGAATACAGGAAAACCCTCAGAGATTAGTAATTTATATTGCAGCAAAAATGTAAACCTCTGATATATATAGCACAATCTCTCAGGAAAATATATATTTTTAATATATTTTGGGATATGTTTCAGTCTTGCTGTAACGAGAAGAAAATTATCACCTTGAATTGTGTCTGCATTCATGGAAAGCAGTTAGCTGAAAAAGAAGCAGAAAGTTTGGTCAGTAAATGCAACAAATGTAAATCTGACAGAAATTTACTTCTTTAGAGTCTTCATTTAAGATGGGCTCATCAGCGTACTTGGGAGAATCATAATTCCTCTACATTCACCAGCATAGTTACTTAAGTATAGTACATCCTTATGGATTATGATCCCAAATCAATTAAACCCCCTTGTAATATACAAAGGTAAAGTACAATACACACAATATAATAGTCATTTATAAAAGATTAGTAATTTGTAAGCTTTTAATACATAAAGATGCAATATATTTAATTAACATAAAGCTTGTTACTGTAAATACTTAGCCAGTTAAATTCTACAGGAGCTGGTATCTCAGTTAACTGAGTACACAGCTGAGGTACAGCCCCAGTGCTGCTGTCATCGCCCATTCTTTTATAAGGCTGAGACACACCCTACATACTGTTCAAAAGAATTCTTATGAATTTAACATTATGGGGTTTTTTTCTGTGTAAACATAACACTGCATCAACATGTAAGATTACCAGATATTACAAACTATAGAATAGTTACCACTATTTCCAGTACATTCACATTGCATATTTAAGTAAGCCATGGGACAAAAGAGATCAATAAAACAGCCGTATCTTTCTAAAGCAGAGTCAAAGAAACCGTATCACAGAAGCTGCAAAGCCCATTTGTTTATGTAGTTTTCAAATGCATGGTTAGGTACCCAAAAAGCACAACACTGCAAAGGAAAGCCAAGTCAAATTCACTTCATAACACAGGTAGGAAAGCAAAATGCAGAACTCCAGTGATTTCATGTCTGCTAGCCATAGACCAGTCAGTTTTATGTTAAAAGCTTAAAAATTAAAAGTATTTGTAAATACCAATTCTATTTCAGCTAAACATCCAACTGCTACAATCTCCCTTTTAGCCTTCAAAAATTATCTGTAGAGGTTAACAACATTAGTACTACATGTGAGCAACGACTCTGACAACAGCGGATTTCTTTTTCAGGCAGGCAGACATGAATTTTGAAAAAAGATCTAAAATTAGAAAAATAAAAACACTGACAAAGGCATCAACTTCGTTTTAATGAAAATGACTCCTCTAAAAATTCATTGACACCATGAACAGAATCTCATTTTTACTGTTTGAAATATTAAAATGAGATCCTGTATTTTCTCTACTTTGAGAAACAAAATCCAACATAGCATGCTGTATTCAAAGGCAAACAAATCCATTCCTCTCTATTTAGATTTACCCCTTATACTTCTTCAGAAATCAAAAACATCGTCATCATCATCACCATCAATATCATCAACATCATCAAATGACCAATCCCAGTCCTTAAATGCCAGATCAAGTAATCTGCAACAGGAGGGTTTGATGTTTAATATATGTCAAGCTTCTATAAAAGACTTCAAAATTCCATTTGTTATCACTAAAACCTTTTAAAGTAAAAGACCGTATTAAGGTAGGTGGGTTTTTTCCTTCACCTATCGTGGAATACGAAGATTCAGTTAGTGTTCATATAAGCCAGAAATATTGTATTCATTGGAAATTTATCTCACAAATCATCCAATTCTATAGAAGACGTACCAGATCAATTTTTTTCCCAAAAATACTCAGTAAAGACCAACATGTACATTTCATAAAATAAGCTGCTTTCTGTTTTGCTGCTGTTCTTGTTGACCGAGGTACAGTTTTAGTGTCTCCTGCTATCCCGTTCCAGACAATAATGCAAGGCTCACAATTTTTCTAATAAAATAAAATAATTTTGATTGCTGAACAGAACATCAAACAAAATAGCATCACCTGAATTTACAAACAAATACAGCAGGATTTTACTATATCCCAAATACAGTGGGGTTACACTATACAGCTCATTACTTAAAACTAAGCAATGCCGAAAAAGTGCTGCCTGCACTCCCTCTATCGTCACTAACTGTAGAACAAAGCAAGAGAGGCAAACCTTGTCAGCAAATGAGTCATTTTACCTATTTTAGGCATTTATTTTGGGATGGGATGAATCATTGTCTAGGAGCATTAATCTCTTTCTGTTGTTAATGAATGTTCTTAAGACAAATATCTTTATTAACTTCTCAATTGCTATAGCTACAAGAAATGAAACCCAGTCTACTCATCTCTCCAGTGAGCTCAATGGATTTTAAATCAGGATTATATGCCAACCATAGGAGGCAGAGATGGAAACCTTACCCTAACAGAGAGTTCAGAGTGTTTTAAGTAAAACATACTGCACTGTTTAATACAGTTAATCACATACATTAAACAAAATGGGTTTCAGGGTTTTTCTGGGTTTTCAGGTTTTAAAGTTTTTACACTTTGAAATATGATATAACCCTGAAAAGGCTCAATATTCATTTATTATATGAACTTGTAATTTCTAAAACACTTAATTTATTAGGCATTAAAATACATTAAAGTTGATTTTTTTTCAATTTGGAATGATCCTTTTGGCACAATCCAATTGAACAGATAAGCAGAAATTGTATGGTCTGTATCAAAAACTGGTTTGCCCTTTCTTAAATCATCATGAAGAACAACAGCCATGAAAACCTTGGAGAAACAATCCCTGTGTGAAATTCCGAGCAGGGACAGCATTTAGAGGACCATGCAGGTTGTACTCTAGCCCAACCTCCTGCTCAAAGCAGGGTCAGCTGCAAGGCCAGCCCAGGCTGCTCAGGGCTTTGCCCTGTCAGGTCTTGAAAACCTCCCGGGATGGAGCCTGGCCAGCCTCCCCAGCCTGCCTTGCTGCCCCACTGTCTGCACTGGCTTTCCTTCTGTCCAGCTGGACTCTCTCTTGGTTCACCTGAGCCCCTTGTCTCTCACCCTCCCACCATGCAGCACTGAAAAGCCTGCCTCTGTCTCCTCGATGCCCTCCCCGCAGCCAGAGGCAGGTTGCTGCGATACCCCCTGGGGCTGTCCTTCCTCCAGGCTGAACAAGCCCAGCTCCCCCAAGCCCCTGCTATGACCATTCTGGTGGCCTCCACTGGACCTTCCCCAGTTTGTTAATGTCTGGCTTGAATTTGGGTGACCAAATGAGGAGGCAGCATCTTGCTGCAGACTAAGGAGTGAACAGGAGGATAATCTCTTCCCTCAGCTGTCCGGCTGCGCTCCTGCTGGTGCAGTCCCAGAGCCTGCCTACCTGCCCGGGCCCACTGCTGGCTCAGCTCCAGCTTGTCCCCAGCCACTCAGTCCTCAGATTAAACTGGCAACTTGATCTTCATTCTTCATAAAGTTCATAACAGAAAATTTATTATTCCATATGCTAAGCCCTTGCACAAAAGCCTCAGAGAGGCACCAGTCAGATATTAATTGGCCATAGCAATTACAGTAATTTATGAGTTTTCTAATCGAAAGGGTTTAAATCCATACGAATTTCCACTGGTTTGACAGACCTGCATTAGTAAGGTGATATGTGACATGACCTCACAGAACTACACTTTTCCATCTGTACAGTATATTTGCAAAGCTAACTTGAAAGTTTGATTGCAAGAATAAAATGGTTTACATGTAAAAATGTTCATCCTCCTCCTTTTCCCACCATTACAGTATATACAGACAGAAAAATATACAGACAGAAAAATAAATCACTAAAGACTGATTTGGACTGAAGGAGGACCACAATGAAAAAGAATGGTAAGAGTAAATACTGTGTTACAAAAACATTTTATAAAAAAGTCATAAAGATGGAAAGATGGGTGTTAAAAGAAGAAAAATTATTTTATGAGCACCTAAGAACAGCTGTCAAAAAAGAATCAGAATTTATAATATACCCTTTATATGTCCACAATAAGAAACAGAATAACACTAATGAATTGGATTGTGAACACTATACAGAAGAAAAGCATTTTACTTGTCCCCCAAAGTTGTCGTGAATGTTTTCTTGATTCATGCTTCAATCCAATCATTGATATTTTAGTTAGTTTTGCACAAAGAAACCCTTCAGTAATCAGTCCCCAAGTAGTAATTAAAAATACTTTTTACTTTCATGGTTATAATAAAAAAATCTAATAATTTAAAATTCAAATTATGAGGTCAGACTTTCTTTTAAAATATGTAAATCACAAAAAATTAGATTGTCAGGAAGCTAGGAAGGAAGTGAGATTGAGTTACTTTGAGTCCTTTCACTATGCATTTCCACACATTCAAATACCAGCATTTTTTTAAGATCTAACTCTTCGTAGTATAAGGCTGTTTGGCAGCATCACAGTAAGAGCACACACTGTATTCCCCACTGTAACTCCAGCAATTCATCCAACCCAGTTTTCAACCAGCCACCCTAGATATTGGTGGGAGTCTGCTCACAGAAACTAGATCAGAAGTACTGTCTAGCCACTGCCAAATTATCTCTCTGGGGAAAAATGTTAAGTCTTAGCTGAAGTGTTAAGTCTTTGCTGCTGGAATACTGCAACAAACAAAACAAGTCAAACCAAACTTTTCATAGGCTGTCAACAAGCGGGGACTGATAAAGCAAAGTATTAGCTAGCACTCTAGGTGATGAAATGAGCAAAATGGAAAAAAATGGAAATTCTGTATTGTGCAATCACATAAGCACTACTTGCAGAATGTCGTCACTTCCACAATACAGTACAGGATTTTGCTCCTTAAAACTGATCTAGTAATAGATTGCTGGGTTTTGTATCGACATCTTATCCCCAAATCAGAGGAACTTGGTAAGACTATTATTTTAGGAATCATGAGACATGAGCATGAATCCTTCTAGGCTGAATGAAGAACTGAAACCAGTTCTCCCACCCTTTTAGTAAGTGCTCCAGCTACTTGACCAAATGATGAACCCCCACCTCCCACATTCCTGTTCTCTTGCAAAAGGCACGAGTAATGCTCAGGCATGTGCCTGCTGCTGCAGCAACAGCGCCCACACTGTGGAACCCGCATGGGCAGAGATGAAAAAGCAGGATCCATCTGAACTAGCTTTTCACTGTGGATGTGCAAGAGCGTGCTGTATGCTCCTTTTCTACACTAGGAGGACATGAACTCTGAGAACAACTCTTCCTTAAATATCAACTGTAAATGGAGTCAGACATGGATACATACATTTGGTCAGATGAAACACACACTAACAAACGAAACCACAATCAGGTTTCTAACCTTAGAGCAGGGCAGGAGTTCAAATACATGCCTCAAAACTAAGCAGTAAGAAACAAAAGGCATGTAGTCTTTTGCTACGTGTAAGGCCTTCTAGACTGCTTTCTGAAGGCACCTTATTCTCTCCAAGGTTCATTAGAACCACAGGCATCTAACTTCACTGCTCACCTTCAGATCAGGTCCAGCAGTGGCCATCTTGAAAACTGTTAAATCATTTTTTCTTTTTTATTTTCTTTTTTTTAAATCTTCACACCCCTCTCACTGACTCTTTGCCTAGTTAAACCCCCTTTTCCCCACCAGCTGCCAGTTCACAGGAACTATTAGGGTACAGACAATGCTACAAGTTCTGCCTATTACACATAAGAGCAATAGGATACATTATCAGTACAGCAGGGTTAGCTAACAGGTAACGTGAAGTCCTTTAAACAAGGGAACAAACACAGTGGCTCTTCTTATAACTTAACTGAGGTTTATAGAAGATACATGCTAGATCATGCCAGTAGTCAACATTTGTGGTCAACTGTCCTCGTCAACATATACGACACTAATTGTAGTAAAATGTTTCAAACAATAAACTAAATAGCAGCTCTTGTGTCACCTTGGTTTGTTTGGAGGAAGCTGTCGACTTGGTCGTCTGATAGACTGGTTTGGCTGTACCTTCATGGAAGTTCTGGGAGAAGATCGAGCAAAGGGGTCTGGTGCTGGAGGCTTCTTGGGTATTTTTTTCACCAGTCGGCTCACCCATTTTTGCTGTTCTTCTGTAGAATTAGCTAACAGTAGTAGATTCTTTGCCGTTGAAATATCATAGTACACTGTAATAAAGAGTTTTTAAGATAAAAATGAACATTGTTATTAAACATGTCCCTACATCAAAAATTAGTTGTCACATGACCATACTCTCACAGTCAACACGAAGAGAAATCAGCAGAGAAATCAAAAGCAAAGGGAAACAGATTTTGCCAAACTTTGTTTCCTGGTTGCTGACAGTGTCTCCTCCTCACATTTAGAGTAACAACTTAGTACTACGTAAATTAGTACTAAGGTCAGGTTGGATGAGGCTTTGAGAGACCTGATCTAGTGGAAGGTGACTCTGCCCATAGCAGGGGGGTTGGAACTCGATGATCTTTAAGGTCCCTCCCAACCCAAACCATTCAATGATTCTATGAAGATACCCACTCACATGGAAAAAAACAAGCAAGGGTAGCACAGAGGTGTGTCTGAGCCCAAGGAACTATGTAACCTGAGTCACAAGGAGTAAAGTTCACTGAATATCATCTATTTCATAACACTCACCAACACTATGGTTTCACCTAGCAATCCAGCACAACACACAGTGTGAGCGGTCTTACAACTACCACACTTTACTGCATGAGGCTGACAACATAGCAGGTATGTACATATACTGCCATCAACTCACAGCACAGAGCGGATCCTCATGCAGACACCCTTAGAAAGGTTCCGACAGCTACATACTAATAACAGAAAAACCTACCTGTTTATGTTTATTTGGTGCCAGGCCACTACTAGAAACCTCTGATCTATCAGAAAGCCTTGTGACTCCAGGGACTATATGCATATTCAAATACCTGCTATTTACCTTTGCAAGGTGCTATAATCTCTTCTTTTTTATCCATATGATCTTTGTGACATTTGATATGGCAACGGCGACATTCTAGAGCAGGAGGAGGTTTAAACATATGCCACAGTGGCTTCATACAAGCTTCACAATTGGTTGGAAAGTGATAAAGAGTAGGTATAAACTCATGTCCTTTGTGACAAATGTAATTTGACTTCTCTCCCATGGGCTCCACGGGAAATTCCTGTTCCTTTTTGCTCTCTCCTTCATTAGCATACAGAATCTAGAATCAAAGAAAAATATTCTCAGTACTTCTATATGACAAATGGAAATTCATAGTAATTAAGTAGAAAGATTGAGGAAATACCATGGAACTGATTTTTTCAAGTTCTTTTTTCTAGTGAATACTTCATTAGACAAAGTTATGAAAATATTTTTGATAATGTGTGAAATACCATCTTGGTTACACTACAAACATTAATGTATTACTGAATACCTGGAATATCCTAGGAATCTCCTTGGAGTCTGCTCTGTACACATCAGTCTGAGTGACTGGTCGGACATGGAAGAGTTTGCTATAGGAAATTATTGAAATAAGTACAAAAGTTAATGATACAAAATGATAAATTTAAATTGACAGATTAAGTTCGGATACAACATACCATGTTAAGATTTAGAGCCATTAAAGATTTGTCATTACAAATTTCTAATAATTTCATTAAAGTCCTATCTTTCAATCCTGCACGTGAACTTCCAAAAACCCTAAATAAAGTCACAAGTATCCAGCTATATATGACACCACTGAAAAACGACTTTAACAATTGCCCATAGATTTCGAACACAATCCTCTCCCCGCACTCCAGCCTCTGAATATCCACATTCCGTATTTATTAAGAAAATAAATTAATTAACTATACAGCCCACCTGTAAGGACATGTTGTAAAAGAAAATGTACAAACATTGAAAATTCTAGCCTCTCTGCTACAGTTTTCTTAATGTTTTTTGCTACAATGTGTTTGTGAGGCAGGTCTCACTGAGCTAGTGGAAGCAGTTCACTTACATCAGAGTTCAATAGAGTTACCTGCATCAGACTGTGCGCCACACTACTTACAATGGACCACTGCTTACAATGGATACTTAAGCTCCCAGCTCTGTAGTTCAAATTTTAAAAGGACGCCCCATTTGACATGGCACTCCCAGACTGGACCTCAAAAGGCCTTTTGTCAAAGTCTTTCTGACAAAGTTCACCTACAAATCAGAAGAAGAGATCTCACATGATAATACTTACTCTATATCTAATACCATATAGGGATTAGATTGTTCTTTATCTTGTTCGCTGTCATAGAACAGGATCTTCTTACTGCTTACAATTACATACTGTTAAGAGACAGAAAAGGAAGAAATATACGTTTTAATCAAGCTCATCACAGATGTCAAAGATGTCACAGCAATTACCACAGATGTCACAGCAATGTTCTCCTACAATTTTATTAAATGGTAGCTAAATGGACAATAGTAGTACTGTATTCTAGATCCATGATTTGGCAATAAATTAATTGCACAACAAACAAAATTCTGATTACCTGATAAATCACTTTATGTTATCAGATTAATTGAGATTTAAACAGACTTAAGTACCTATGAAGAGATAAAAATGAAAGTCTGGAAGGAAGTAAGGTAAAAGCTTTTCATTTCTATTTTACTTGGACTGGTACTAAGAATAACAGTCATGATGCCTATTTCATATGTGCAGTTCACAACAGGGATCATACTCACAAAGATCACTGTTATACTTACAGCATTGCTATCAATTTTCATAGAAAAGCTAGTTACCTAGAAGACTTCCTATTTCCAGAATTTTGTCCAGAACGAAGTTTGTGAGCAGTAAGTGAACAGGTATGAAACTCTGTATGTTACTCTTTGGGCAAAGACCCGTAAAAGAGGTTACTGAAAAGCAGTAAACAAGTGAGGGCTGCACAAGGCAGATGTGTAGTTCTTGGTTTTATCTCCTAAACAAAGAATTTGTCAAGGGCATCTGCTTCCAGACTCTGCTAAATTCCCGCTACATAATACTGCTGGGAATGCTTATGGCTGGACGTACAAACATTTGAAGATCATGTTCTCACCTGTGGCTGGACAAAAAAGTGTCTTAATCTATTAAAATTGTCTTAATCTGCTCCTCTCAGACACAGCTATACCAGCTAACATATTTTATACATTTAACTAATGAGAGAACATACATCAAAAAAACTTTAAAGTGTTGAAAACCTGCAGTAAGTTTAAAATCCAGACTACATATGAAACAAGATCATAAATATGGTTTTCTTACCTTTTTAACCCATCCAAATTTTTTAGTGTTATTTCTAACAGGCAGTGATAGCCAGCCTTCCAATCTTGATTCTGAAAAAAAAGATGTGTATTAAAGAACATAAATATTCACAAAATATTATTTTTGAGACTACTGTGCATTTAAAATAATTACCAAAGATTAATAATAAAAATAAAGCAACAGAGCAAACAAGAGAACATGAACTATTTAAAACTACAAGGTCTTGCAAAGTAAATCACAGTAAATATTCAGGAATAAATTAAATCATGTATTCCTGAACACAGCCAATAACCAACAAAGCAATCACAAAAAAATAGTAGGCACAAGGAAGAAGGCGAAGAGCAAACTTGCAATTATAACACACACATTCCCTTTAGTAAGTTTTTTAAGAATTAAAATGCTTATGTCTGTCAACCTTTACCTTTTAAAACAGCATCTGAAGATATTAGTACAGACCACACGACATCCAATTCAAGACTAAAAAAAGCAGACTACCATCACCAATAACCTATATCCTCTATATGCCAGGTAAAATTTCAGAAGTTTAGTATTCTAATTCATACTTTTTGCTCTACCAATTTTCTTCTTTTTTCTAATTCTGCCTAAATCACCTAGGCTTTCTAATCCAAAATAAGTAATGTTTGGCTAATCCTTAGGCCTTACCTAAATTCAGCTGCCCTTTCACTCACTTGCAACATTTCATATTACACCGGCACATTACTCAGATTGGATTTATCAACAGTATTAACAGCTCAGCTGTTGTTTGACACACACATTTCAGCAGTAACCAAAAGCTCACCAGGATCCCACTTTCCTAGGAGTTGGTAATCCACAGTATTGCACAGCCTTTGCCCCTATTTTTATAGCCGCACTTTATACAAGCATTTCTTTCCTCTATGTTTTATTAAGAGGAACTACTCGATTGCAATACTACTTTCCTAATGAGTTCCCACCCTAGCAGATAACCTCTACTGCTGCTGAGGAAACTCCAAGTGAAAAATACTGAAGCCTTAATAATTAACAAACACAAAACCATGAAAGGAGCATAAACATGCTCCAAAATTGCAAAAGCTATTTTTTTTTCTCATCAGAAGGCATTTGCAGGCTCCTTCCCTTGTTTAACATAGCATAACAAACAGTTATTAGATATTCATAGAATTTTCATTTTGTCTAGAGAGACTTGAAGCAACATTATTTATTCAGGTACATGCTGTCTTCAAAGTTTATTGCTCTATAAGCATTGCTGTTGATGACACATTTTAATGTATGTGCCAAGTACAAGAAGTAGTTCTACAATGTATATTTTGCCTTATACCTGCCACTTCAAATTGTTCCTTTCAACTACACCTGACACAAAGGGTAGCAAGCATAATGCTGATGCAAAAAAATCCTTCCCCACATCCAGGAAGCATGTGTAGCTTGTTAATGGTGTGAAAAAGATATGCATTAAAATTTTTCCTATTTTTCTCTGCAATCTCTCATACTATCAAATGAAAGTGGACAAAATGAGAGATTCTGGTTACACTTCTTAATTTCTGGTGTCCATTCTATACTAACAGATCAGAGAAGGGCCAGAATATTCCAAAATTTTCACAGTACTTGCTTATAAGTACTAGGAGGAAAAAAAAAACAGCAAAACACAACTGTCATACCTCTAATCTTTTGTAATTATGTCAGAAAAAAGTCCTAGTTTAGGTATGATTTTTACTTTAGAACAAAACAAAACCATGCAGATAGCACAACAGTGGCTAACAAGGAAAAAATTGTGTATGCAATTTAATAATTCTTTTTTTAGAAGCCTCATAGCAAAAAAACAGAGAATGAGGAAAATACAGGAAATGCATTATTCTTTACTCTAGTTTGATGAAGTAATGTCAATATTCCAAAACAAGTTTTGCCTTCAGTGGAAAGGTATTCACACTTTAAAGGAACCTCAAGTGAAATACAGAAAATTGAATGTAATTAAAAACCACACCTCTGACATTAACACTAAACAGAAGTTTTGTTCACCACAGTGTATGCATAGTCATATAAAATGAATACAGAATTAGTAAAACTAAGCTCTTTTACCAGAGCCATATAATTTCATTCTATGCTTTACATATCTGGAAAAATTAATAACTTTTGCTTGCCTTACCATACAAGAATCAAATATAAGATTCAAAATAAGGCAAAACAATGTAATACTCAGAAGACTGAATTTCTGTGAGCAAGTAATGTACATTTAGATGGTGAGGAGTCAGAAGTCTCCACACTTAAAACACAAAGATTTGACTTTCTGGTATCCAGTGTCTTAGGATCATACAGACAGTTTGCAGATACCGGATAGAGGCTACCTTGAAAACAAAGGCATAAGGCTTATTTATTCAATGCTTTAACAAAAGCAGTGGTTTTATAAATGTCAGCAAGCATCTGTAAACACTTAGAGAAAACAGGCCAGCTAGTTGTTCATGCAAACTTTTTCATGTCTTTGATGGCAATGTTTACTGCCATTGCAGTATGTTTACTACCAGATTTTTTTTTAAATACTGTATTATTAGTGTTAGTTTTGAAACAGAGAAACGGACACAGTCAGAACAAAACCAAACAGTACTCAGGGATGTCACCTGTGCTATCAACTTCTGTAGGGCTGTGGGAACAAGACAAATGTTCTTCCTCTGAGTCAGAATCAGAATCAGAATCAGAATCGAGAAGCATGCGAGAACTGGAAGGCTTAGTGGCAATACTGACAGAGGTAGAAGAGTGCTGGTAGGTAAAAGACATGGATTCCATAGTGTGGGATTGAGTGATATGGACTAAACATAAAGCATAAAGGAGGAAAAAAAGGCAGAAAAGAAGTCAAAATATAATCTCTAAAACTGGAAGGCTTAGTGGCAATACTGACAGAGGTAGAAGAGTGCTGGTAGGTAAAAGACATGGATTCCATAGTGTGGGATTGAGTGATATGGACTAAACATAAAGCATAAAGGAGGAAAAAGGCAGAAAAGAAGTCAAAATACAATCTCTAAGAAGAGAGTATTAGTTTTACATTTCATCACATAACACAGTAATTGCAAGGTAACCATCACAATAAAGTGGAAAAAATATTTAGTTTTAATGGGGTACAAGAGAATTTTTAAAAGACATTTATTTAAATAAACGTAAGATGAAGATGATTACAGACAGATTTAGTTAGTAGGTGGATAGTAATCATTGTCAAAGCATTAACAAGACTGTAGAAATACTCGAAGATGAAAAACCACAGAACCATCAGAGCATTAACTTAATACTTCACCTTCTATGATAAAACACTGATCTAAAATGAATTAATGGAGAAACATTAATAAAATTAACATACCAGGGAATCCATCATCTGCCTCAGCATCTCCGGGTCCACTGCCTATGCTACTGTTGTCTAGACCAATGTGTAATGACTGTAGCTGTGAACGAAGCTGTTCAATGTCACTGTCTTTGCTGTCCAGAGTCATCTGGAGTTCAATCCGTATCTGACTCTCCTCTGCTATTTGCTGTAAGGATAAATTACAAGATTTCCTATTACCACAATACTCAAGTTACTCAGAGAAAATATAAGCACAAAGTTACGCAGACTTTGCATCCAATCTCAATATATATACTGTGTATTTCTTTTGGCCACAGGAAATTCAGGAATAACGACGGTATACACTACCTTAAAGCCTGTATCAATTCAATGAGAATTACAGAAAATGTTATCAATGTTTATATTTGCAAAAGGATCGTACCGCCTGCATTTCATTGATTTCCTTCTGATATTTGATCATCATTTGGGTTAACTTTTCTCGTTCAGACTTCAGTTCCATATGCAGTTTCCTATTTTCCTTCTCCTTCCGCCGTACATCAGTGTCAGCTCCACGTTTGACTGGACCCTTCCGATTCATGATCTCAGCCAATTTATTCACAGCCTTCCCATGGGGAAGAAAAAAAATGACAAAAACCGTACCAATAAATACATAGAATTATATAATGAAGAAATAAAGTCTTCTCTCCTATCCACGAGAAGACACTTCTAACTGAACTGTAAACTAAGACCCCTGCATATCCAGTACTATAAAGTCGCTTTAATTCAGTGTACTGCATAAAAGTGAAAACAAGGTAATGATGCCATTTTCACTTGAAGCAAGAATTTGCTTTGAACATTTCTACTCATTTAAATATTCTCAACCATCAACCCACAC